AAACGGAGAAGAAGAAAAAGAATGTAATGTTATTATAATATTTTTCTTGTAAAGAAAGCAATAAATCAATCAAACAGAGTTGTTAATAGATACTTTTTAAATGGATCTAGATACAGATACATAGTCTAAAAATTTATCTAGATACAGATACAGTTTCTAAAAAGTTATCTTGATACAGATACAATTTAAAATGTATCTAGGTAGAGATACATTTTTTATTATGCTCTTAGATAAGGTTTGAATAAACCTAAATTAGGATTCTATTGTGAAAATTCATGAAATGATCTAAAAAATTTCTTGACTCGATATCACATTTATCAAAATATAACTAAAATAATGATTTTTAGATATTAATATAATATATGATTAAAATAAATAATTATTATATATCATTAATAAAATAATATACAGGGTTTCCCATTTAAAAAAGGAAAAGTCCCAATAAATAAAGGAAAAGTTTCAATCATAAAAGGAAAAGGTCCAATCAAAAAAGGAAAAGGGTTAATCATAAAAGGAAAAGGTTCAATCAAAAAAGGAAAATTCCCAAAAATAAAGGAAAAAGTCTGATCAAGAAAGGAAAAGCGTTAAACAAAAAAGGAAAAGGCTCAATCAAAAAAGGGAAAGTGTCAAACAAAAAAGGAAAAGGTCCAATCAAAAAAGTAAAATGGTCAATCGAAAGGAAAAGTGTCAATCAAAAAAGGAAAATTCCCATTCAAAAAAGGAAAATAGTAATTTTTTAAAAATAAATTATAAATTTTTCAATTTTTCTTAAATTTTTATTTATTTTTGTCATTCCTTCTTTTTTATTTCTAACTTTTTGCGATTTCTTTACTTTATTTGTATCTTTTCTCAATTTATTTTTCTTACTATATTTTTTCTCATTTTTTCTTCTTCTCATTTTTGATAATTCACTTGTATTTTTAAAAATAATTGATAAATTTAAGTCCATTTTTTAAACAATTCTTTACGTTTTTTTTTCATCATACATATGTCGTAATTTTTAAAGGAATCATAACTATCCGGGATCTTCACGGGATTTAAAGAGATCCCTTTAAAATTTCAATTTTTTAAAGAAATAAAGAACTATACGGCATTATCACGTTTGAACCATGATATAGAAGAATCTTATTTTAAAAAGCGTTTTCCGCGCGTTTCGTTTTTTAATTTTATTGTTATTCATTACTTTTAATGTTGTTTTACTGGCCTTATGAAATAAGATATGTCTAATATAGGGTATCAATCGATAGCTAATCAAAAGATCTATTCAACTCGAGGTCAATCTCTCCCCCATAATGGGTGAATCTAGATCTGGGGAGGGGGGTGGGGGTCAAAAATATTTTTATCAACACAAAATATCGATATGGGTATCAAATAAAAGCTAATTTTAATATGGTTTGACTGAAAGTCTTCATTTTTGGTCTGTATGGGTATGACTTGGTCTTAGGGTGGAGTGTAAAGAATAATTTTTTTGATATGGGTATCAAATAAAAGCTAATTTTAATATCGTTTGACTGAAAGTCTTTATTCTTGGTCTTGATGGGTATGACTTGGTCTGGGGGGTAGGGGTGGAGGAGGGGGGGGGTGTAAAAATAATTTTTTTTGATATGGGTATCAAATAAAAGTTAATTTTATAGTGGTTTGACTGAAAGTCTTCATTCTTAGTCTTGATGGGTATGACATGGTCTTGGGGGGGGCAGGGGGTGTAAAAATCTACCAAAACCAAGAATGAAGACTTTCAGTCAAACCATATTAAAATTAGCTTTTATTTGATACCCATATCAAAAAAATTTATTTCCCCCCCCCCCTAAGACCAAGTCATACCTATCCAGACCAAGAATGAAGAAGTTCAGTCAAACGATATTAAAATTAGCTTTTATTTGATACCCATATCAAAAAAAATTATTTTTACACCCCCCTCCCTCTCCTCCACCCCTAATTCCCAGACCAAGTCACACCCATCAAGACCAAGAATAAAGACTTTCAGTCAAACGATATTAAAATTAGCTTTTATTTGATACCCATATCAAAAATAATTATTTTTTACATCCCCCCCCCTAAGACCAAGTCATATCCACCCAGACCAAGAATAAAGACTTTCAGTCAAACCATATTAAAATTAGCTTTTATTTGATACCCATATTGATATTTTGTGTTGATAAAAACATTTCTGACCCCCCCCCCCCCCAAAACCTAGACCCGCCCATTATGGGGGAGAGATTGACCTCGAGTTGAATAGATCTTTTGATTAGCTATCGATTGACACCCTATATTAGATATATCTTATTTCATAAGGCCAAAAAAACAACATTGAAAATTAATGAATAACAATAAAATTAAAAAACGAAACGCACGGAAAACGCTTTTTAAAATAAGATTCTTCTATATCATGGTTCAAACGTGATGATGCCGTATAGTTCTTTATTCCTTTAAAAAATTGAAATTTTAAAGGGATCTCTTTAAATCCCGTGAAGATCCCGGATAGTTATGATTCCTTTAAAAATTACGACATATGTATGATGAAAAAAAACGTAAAGAATTGTTTAAAAAATGGACCTAAATTTATCAATTATTTTTAAAAATACAAAAGAATTATCAAAAATGAGAAGAAATAATGAGAAGAAAAAAAAATGAGAAAAAATATAGTGAGAAAAAATATAGTAAGAAAAATAAATTGAGAAAAGATACAAATGAAGTAAAGAAATCGAAAAAAGTTAGAAATAAAAAAAAGGAATGACAAAAATAAATAAAAATTGAAAAATTTATAATTTTTTTTAAAAAAATTACGATTTTCCTTTTTTTAATGGGAATTTTTCTTTTTCGATTGACACTTTTCCTTTTTTGATTGGACCTTTTGCTTTTTTGTTTGATACTTTTCCTTTTTTGATCGGACTTTTTCCTTTCTTTTTGGGAATTTTCCTTTTTTGATTGACACTCTTCCTTTTTTGTTTGGACCTTTTCCTTTTATGATTGACCCTTTTCCTTTTTTGATCGGATTTTTTCCTTTTATGATTGAAACTTTTCCTTTTTTGATTGGGACTTTTCCTTTTTTGAATGGGAAACCCTGTAATATATAATTAAATGATTATAAATAATTATTAGATTTCAGTTTTAAAATATTTTCAAAATTTTGGTTTAAGACATCCTCGTTTATCTGTAAAGACATTTTTAGCTATACTAAAAAGTCTTTCAACAGGGGCGCTGGAAGGGATTGTGGTGTTATATTTAATGAATAACATATATCAGGATATTGTTTAAAAATACTAAAATCTCGGCATTCATTTTTGAAAAAACTATTTAAAATTTGTTGATTATCAGAATTTAAATCATTAACCATCATATCTCCTGCTGTTGGATACTGAAAAAAATCGGATATTAAATTATTGGTTTTTTTTTTCATTTTCATCCATTTGCAACCATGTCCAATCTAGTTTAAAAAAAGGATGAAGTATAGTTGCCAAAATATTTTTATCTTCAATAATTGTCCCAATAAACCTAGAATTATTAAATACTGATTAATTTATTATTAATTTACCTATCTTCAATTCCTTTAAGTAAGGCATTAAAGAGTGGTAAACAAAATTTCAGGTTCATTTGTTTAAAATTTTTCAATTTAATAGCTGGGAAATATCTTTACCGGCGATAGGCACTCCAACAATCTGCTGTTGTGCATATTAAGACTTTTAATGATTTCTTTCTTTTCATTCTCCCATCTTTGGGAAATTCTAGCAACCACTGTCTGTCTGCAAATTATATTTTTTTGTGGAGCTAATGTTTTGATCATTTTTATAAATGATGGATTTGCAACAATTGAAAATGGCTGAATGCTATCTATAATAAAATCAGATATTAACATCTAAAATGGTTTGGGTTAAAGTCTGAGGTCTCTTGAAAAAAAATCAATGGACGATTAGCCTAGTCCAATATTTTCTTTAATAGATTTTTTCTCCTTCCCCTTTTTTATTTGGATTAAGAGTGTTTGATGTTTTCTCTTAAAATTTAAAATGTAAACATTTATTTAGTATCTATACCCTTAAATGTTTTACAATGTTGCAAGTTGAGGTAATGCTAACTGAAATTTTCATATTTTTTGGACATGGAAAACATTTTACTAATAGAGATTTGTTTTCTTTATTTTGAGATATTATTTTAAAATATGGTCTATAAATTGGCCATGGAATGTCGTCATTTTCGTCATCAATATTAATCTTAAAAATTAATATAACAGAATAAGATAAAATAAAATAAAATACCGATTCCATTGCCATTAAAAATGGCAAATTCCTTGAGATGGATTGTAATATCAGAATTTGCTCGTTATTGATAACTAGGACACAATATTTAATTAATATTTATATAATATAAGTTTTAATATTTTACATATATATATAATTTTTTAATATATACATTAATATTAATTTATATGCTCATATGAAATAAAATAAATTTTACACTCAAGTATTTTTATTTATAATATAAAAAAGCGTTAAATAAAAGTATATCAAAATGTATCTAACAGATACTTTAATCAAAAATCTATCTAGATACAGCTACCACATTTTTATATCTGGATACAGTATCTAGTAACAACTCTGCTCATTAATCATTTTCTTTGTTTTTTTTATTTTCAATATTATTTTTTAACTCTTATAGACCTACCCTTAAAATATTAACAAAAAGTCATAAGAGTTCAAAAAAAATAAATATAAAAGATTTTTTACAATTTTTTTTTGTAATTTTAAGGTAAAATTTGATCAAAAATCTTTTTATTAATTCTCAAAAAATCTTCTATTATATTTTATTTTGAAGAATTCAAATTTTAATTGATAATAAAATCGTATCAAATTTTGTTAACCGTACGTCAAGAGTTGTTTCATTTACTTTCGACTTTTTGTTTGTAGGAACTGTCCGATAAACAACTTAGGACAGTTGCATTAAAAATAGATTAAAGGTAACAAAAATTAAATAAAAAAAATAAATAGAATTAAAGGTAAGAAAAATACCAGAAAATTTTTCCACATCCGATTCTATCTGCCCAACTTCTATGTTTAAATCCAAAAGTTCTTTCAAGGGCTCAAGGCATTCGCAAGATTCCTCTCCCCGAAATATATAATCGCAAATCGTTAATCCGGTCGTACTTAAGGGGGCAAAAACTCTCGAAGGTGTTTCAAAGAATGTTTTCGATTCTTAATAAAAAATATATACTATACCTAAAAAACATTTATTTGAAAGTGCAAAAAAATGCTTACAAATTATCATTTGATTATTATATGGTTTTAACTTCCAATTTTTTTAAGAGCTGTGTTGATATTTTTACCGATATATGCATAAAAATTAGCTGCCAAGTCTGAGATACACATTTATAACCAGGTCATTTTAATATTGGCAAAAATATCAGCATAGCCATAATTGTTTTTACTAATGAGTGATTTAAAACACTATAAAATCTCGGTTAAAAGCATTCCATAATTAACATTATATTTTGAGCGATAGGAGTAATCTTAAGGATAAGATTTTGTCCTCAAGTAAATTTATCCTATATAGTGGAAAAAAATGTGTATAAATAAATTTTTTGTAATTCTACTTATAAGGCATTTTACATGTTATCAAGATTCTGCATACCAATTTTAATAAAATTTAGTAAATACAAATTAAAGTCAAAAAAGCATTTAACTTTTGAATTAAACAATGGTATTATTTATTATATTATCCATATTTTGATATTGTTAGCATAAAATACTTTTGTTTTAATAAAATGCTAAACAAGCCTGTAGGCATGGGGAAAAAAATTCAGCCCCTAAAGATTTTTCTGGCCCCAAAATTAAAAATAAATATTTGTTATTGAATTTTAATTTGTCATTAACAATTAAATCTGAAATGAAAAAACGAAATTCTTAGAATAATTTTAGTTATTAAAATTTTATTTAACCAAATTAATTGGTTAAACAAAAAAACAGATAAAAATATTATTTTAAAATATCCATTCAATCGTTAACCATTAAATAAGAAAAACAAATATCTTTATAAAAAGACACTAGTGTTGGTGAATTCATCAGTTCCCGTGATGATTCATCTACCATCTTCTTGAAACATGGTAAATCAGTTAATGTTAACGGAATTTAATTAAAAAAACAATTAAGATAAATTACAAATATTGCAAACTACTTCACACTAATCACTCGATGATACTTAAACGTTAATTAGAACAATACATGTAAGCTATTTATATAATATTTTTAAAAAGCGAAAGAAAACGAATATTTTTACATGAAGAGGACGAACACTTTCATAATGTAGTTTTAGATATTAAAAATGGCGAACTACTTCCTGCCTAGCTTGCAATAATCCTTAAATAATTATAATAAATACCTATACATTTAAATAATATTTAAAAAGGAGAAGATTTTTATAAAGAGGAAGAATCTTTTAAATATCAATTTTTAAAGCGGAGTGTAATTATACCACCCTCGGGCGTCGAAAGGTATTCAGACAGACACCTTACATTATAATTATTTATTTCCACACATAAAATTGAGCATAACGTAAGTTATTCAATATTTTCTATCGTCGTGCTTCGTATTGTTTAGTAACAAAGAAAGATAGACGAAAACAAAATTTAGTTTTGAAATAAATAACCCAAATTTTTCAATTCATTTAATTTTAAATTTAAAAATCGTTGTTATATTATAGTATTATTTCGTATAAATAGAAAGAAATATTAAAAATTTCCAATATAAAAATGGGAAAAAAATTCTGAGTGCCTATTTGTATTTCAAAAAAATATTGGTCCTCCCAACTAAAAAGTTGGTCCACGAAACTAAAAATTTATGCTAGGGGCTAATGATAGAACAACTATTAAATTAGAGAGAAAAAAAATATTTTTAAAATACTTCTTTAGTTTGAGAGCCATGGTCCGGGTCCTGATCAAAGACCCGACCGTGCCTAGTGATAAAAAATAATTTTTATTAAAATTAAGCTAAATTATTTTGTTAAATTTTACAAATTAATATTTCTATTTATGAAAAAGATAAATAATTGATACATCTCATTTTCCTAAGTCTGAAATATATTATATAAATCTATCTAGATGTATATTTCATAATATTCCAGAAATAAGTCAATTTACTTAGATGTAATGACTTTGCCATAATTTTACTAAATAAAAAAATATAATACATAGATAAGTTATAAGTGTTGTTAATTTGCTTGGTCTAAAATACAACCCAATTTGGTGCTCAGGCCTGCTCTGAACACGAACCCGGAGTTCAGACCCTTGGTTTAGACCCGGGTTTCAGATGATGTTATTCCAAATAGTTCAAATAAAAATTATTTACCAAACTTTACTAAACAAAAACTAAGAAGAAATAAATCTCATTTTCTAATTTTATTATACATTCTAATAGCTCTGTTTATTATTTTATTCTACATTAATCTCATTTTCTAACCATTAAAATATTTGTTTAAATTGGGGTGCTTTTGATCGGAGACTGTTTGACCTAAACATTTTTTCTCTTCCAGATTATGTTAAATTCACATATATAATTATTATAGTTTATATATAGTTAACCCTCTTCAAAACTTTTGTGGGGTTTATGGGATATCTACTACAACTCTACAAAAATATAAGTTCATAAAAAAATTTTGAAAAATAATATTTTTTATTAAATTCAAATTTAACTATAATTTTAGAACGTTTTTTTAATATTTTTGAAGTTAAGTTTATTGATTATTATTCTCAGTGTTGTGATGAGTTAATGAAACATGTTGACGATTAAATTAAAAATAAAACCCATTCAGATAAAAATATACAACACTAGATTATATTTTATATTCTGTTTCAGTTTTAATATCGTTATTATAATTATACTAGCTGATAGCCAATCAAGAATGACGGGTAATCGGAATTTTCTCCTTTATTTAATGATTGATGAATCAGAATTTTTCCTATCTTATGAGGTGTGATTTAGAAATTTATATTTTTCTTAGATGAGGGGTTATTCTAAAATATTCCATTATTTTTTATGAAGTATATGGTTAATAATTTTAATTTCTGTTCACAATAAAAAATCTTTTAAACTTTTTATTCATTTGTATTTGTAATTTATAATCTAAAAAATATATTCTTGCTAGATGAGAGTTTTGCATAACTTATCGATTTAACTTTGCCTCATAAAACTCTCATCTAGCAAAGAATATATTTTTTAGATCATAAATTACAAATACAAATGAATAATAACTTAGTTTAATAGATTCTTTATTGTGCACATAAATTAAAATTACTAAATATATACTTCATAAACAATTTTATAAAAAATAAAATTTAAAATAACCCCTCATCTAAATAAATATAAATTTCTAGATCACATTTCATAAGATAGGAAAATTTCTGATTCATCCATCATCAAATAAAGGTAAAAATTCATCTATTATTGAATAAATGAATTCTGATTCTCCGTCATTCTTGGAGGGCTATCAGCTAGTAACTTATATTTTTGATAATGGGTTCTTAAAAGATCCTAAAATTATGTAAATTTAAGGCATGGTCACAACAGGCATATTCATCGATTTATTCCTCCATATATACACTACGATGACTTTCTTTATTTCCTTGTGTTCAACAATTTCTTGAAATGGATGAAGCATTAAAAACGTATTTTTTTTACAATTAATCCATCAATTATCGGAATTTTTTTTTCAAATGATTTAAATAAGACATATCTTTAATTTGCCCATTCATTTAGGCTCAAATTAAGTCAGCTGATAAATAAAATAATTCAATTGAAATTAGAGACCTTCATGGGCCTTGATTTATTCATCAAGCCCAGCCCAGGTCAGCAGTAAAAATAATTTACAGGCTCAGTCCATGTTTATGAAAAAAATCCAAGATCAAGGCCCATCATAAGTTTCAAAAATTTTCCCCAAGCCCAAATCCAAAAATTTAATTTATTGATTTTAATAAATATAAACAATATTTCAGTGTATTTAGGCAATCAATTTGTTTGCAATGAAATTTCTTATTATTAGAGGAAAAACAAATGCAATATATTTAAATTTAAATAAGCTATTATTAGTTAATTATAAATCATCATTGTAAAATATATAATTAGTAAACAATTACGAAAAAAAAAATCATAATAACAAAAGAATATTGAGGCATAAGCGAAAGCAGCAGAAATTATTCAAAACCTCCTTCATTTAATCATCAGGAGAGATCGAATTAATAAAACAAACATAATTAGTCTTAAGAATGGCTATTGCGATCCTCTGCCTTAAGTAAAAACCTTCGCGAGACTCCCCAGAATTTTTTCTGATTAGGCGGCCAACGTCTTTAAAAAAGTTTTTAGCCAAATCACCATATGTAGTTAAGGTGGAGCAAATGATGGGTATGAATATGTAATTTGAGGAATCAGCGCTGTATTTGCTGATCTTAAAATTTTGAGCTCTGTTCAGAGCGTCCTTGTTAAAATTAGAGGGGGAGTTAGTGTCCAGACAAGAGAAATCCCATATTAAAACTTTCCTTGAGACCATGGAATATGTGTGACCCCATCAGGATGCCTACTATCGGAAAATAAGCCAGAAGGCTCCATTGAGGTAGGAAAACCAGCTGACCTAAGTGCAAGAGATATAATTTGATTGCATTTCAAATGTCGAGTTTGCCAGCCGGGATTACGATTGCAATGTAAAGGATGAAGCGCCATATTGCCATCAACAGTATGGCATTTGCTGCATTTATATGGTAATGAAAAGGGAATGTTGAGCCTGATACATAAAGCATAACTGAGCTCATGGTTGTCTAATTCGAGTTTGAGATTGGTAGATGGAATAACATCTAAAAATAAATTTTTAGGCCCAGATTAAATTTTTTTTATTAATAACCCAGACCTGGGCCAGGCACGTTAGGAAATATATCATAACTGGCACCCCATAGGCCGCAAGCTACCACATGAAGATCTCTGATTGAAATGTTAAACCATTTTAAATCATTAAAATATTTGTTAACAGAAAGAAAAAATTTTCATTAAAAGTAAAAGCAATATTTGACACAGATGTTAAAAATGAACAAAAAAATTAAATAAATGCAATGAAATATAATTTATTGAATGTATCAATATAAAATTTTATATTTTGCTCTTTAGTCAGAACCTCTAGAAGAATTGGAATTTTTTAAAAAATAAAAATGTTTCTC